GCAAAACAACTCTCTGGAAAAAAAGATAAAAAACAAGCTTAGATATTTGCTAAACATAGAGAACAACTCCTGAAAGGTGTTTTAAATTAATAGAAGCTTACTTCCCCCTTTGCATAAAAGCAGTTGCTGTGAAGGCGCTGTAGGGCTGGTGTGGTGACTCCAAGACTGTGCTTCAGTCTGTCTCCTCAGACCTCAGGTTCACTGCATGTTTCCAAAATGGCTGCGGGAAGAGCAGCCATCACATTCCCATTCCATGCCATTAGCAGGCAGAAGTGATGAAGACAAAGGTTACACACCTCTTCTGCTTTAAGAAACCTTCCTGAAAGTTACGCACAATGATCTGCATTTTATTGGTCAGAACTTTGTCTCACAACCATTCCTTGCGGAATGTCATCATTTCAGGTGGTCATATGAGCTCTACTAAACATTGCAATGGGTTCCTGAGAGAAGAGAATGGATGTTGGGAAGTGCTGGGTAACCTCTGCTGCAGCTAGAGAGGCAGAAAGATTCCTGATGTGTCCTCAGATTGCATGTGCCCTCCATAACCTCTTAAGTGTGAAGACCAAGCTACATTCCAGCTTCTTCCCACAGGGTCTTGCATACCCTTTGCCTTCTGTTGCACGGACTAGTGGATGCATGGTATAGAGAGAGCCCGGGACGTAGAGCTTTGTGTTAGTCTGAGACTGTGTTGAAGAGATTGTAGCTTATACCCCATCTAGAAGATGCAGAGAGGATCCCGAAGCAGTTTATATTGCTGGAGCTAAAATACAGACACAAAAATAGGTACAGGAAGGCATTACAAAGTCAGGTAAAATCGAGTAACGTGAGGTTGTGTCTTATCCATTGTTTCAGGCTGAGGCAACAATAGTTTCAGCATGATAAGGTAGAACTGAATGGGAATCAACTATCTTATGCTTGAGTCCAACAGAAAACCAGCAAGATAGAGCCATGTGACTAGGTAGAGCAGAATGAAAAATGGGGTGCTTCAATTGGTCTTAATAAGAGCCGTAATGCAAGAGAGAGACTTTGTTCTTAGCCTACACTAACAGGAGCAGAGAATGTGGATGGCAGAAGTGAGAGCACTGCTCTGTCTTGCACAGGTTAGCCACAGCTGTTACAGGACTTGCAGTCCGGGGCTCTACGCTTTAAAGAGAAAAGGACAGAGCAGAGTTTTAACAGGAGAGTTCCCGAGATGGGACGGGAGAACTCCTCAGCCTGTCTACTGAACATTTTATCAGTCACTTGGGTCACATCTGCTTATCAAATTTGTGGATTACTCTAGTCTGACAGGGGTAGCAGATACAGTGACTGACAGAATCAGTCAAGAAGAATACTGAGCCAATGTCAGCCTATGAAACTGACAACGGATTAAGGATCTCACCACAAAAAACGATAAACATGTGAGGTAATGCATATTAATTTAGTCAGTTTAGCCTTTCTATAATGCTTTTTTACTGCTTATTTCAAAACAATAATATATACTTTTTTGTCAGTTAAAATTAAAAATTGAATTTAATTTTATTTATTAATTTTAAAATTTGCATTTAATCATCACACATATTTATGGCATGTTATATGGGTTCTCAAACCATAAGTACATTATATGTCAAGCAAGTCAAAGGTACTATCATACACAATAACTTTCCATTCTCGGTCTGCTATTTTTTTTTTTTCTTTCTCTTTTTTGGAGAGGTGTTTGCTATAGGGCACGTGCGCTCGCCAGAAAAGCAGAGAGAGACAGAGAGACAGAAAGTGAGAAATCACCCCCCAGGGGGGATGGCCACGCCATAATCCCTTCTCCTCCTTTCTCTCTCGGGATCTTGGGCACGCACACATGCCTGGTATGAGTCTAAACCACTAAGTCAGGGACTCAAACCACAGTCGACTACATGGGAGTCCAGCGACATAACCATCACACCAACTGCTGGTCCCGCTATTTTTTTTTTTTCCTGAGCCCTTTTTTTCCACTACCTACTGTCTATCTACCCCCTCCTATATGAAAATTAAGAGTAATTAAAACATAGATTAAGATAAAGTCCTGAGGTTTGGTCAGTAAGAATGGGATGAAGGAAACCTGTTAAAATGACTGTTCACACAACTCAGGATTTTAGAAGGCAGCAGAGCCCGCAGAAGTACCAATGTGTCTTGTGACCAGGGTCTGGTGGGCAGGGGGCTGCCCAGGGTCTCCAGGCACTACAGATGGTCATGACTACTTCTCAAGCCAAAGGTCTGACCTTGACTTTGTGAGTTTAGATCCTCAAAGTCTTTGAATCTGCGGGACTTGGGGAGACTGACTCATGCTAACAATGCTTACAAAAGAATGATAAATAATAACAGATTGCCAAAAATATTAATTTTTAGCATGAATATACTTATCATGGTATTCCACCTTGCTATTTCCATACTATTCCATAGTATGTTTACAACAGTGTCCTGACCAGGAGCTTCTCTGGGGTATGGGGTCTAATCTTTGATTTTTGTATTCCAGAGTTTAACCCAGTACACCAAAAATTTTCTATTAATGTTTATAAAGTAAGTGAACAAATAAACACTTAAATGAAATGAATATTTGACATGGAGTACCAAATACATGTGTATATATATTTGTCTTCTGTTACATGGATTACTGAGTGAGTGGAATTAACCAGAGCCTGGCATGTACAACTTCGTGTTGATCTGAGATTTTGTGTCTCATCCACACACACACACATAATTTCTTTTCTCCTTTTCCCTATAGGAAAACAACATGGAAAACCAAATACTACTACTAAGGAATTTTGAGGAAAATTGAATTGAAAGGAGGAGGGTGATTAGTATGACTTGACTGGCATCATGTTAGAAAAAGAGCCATATAAGGTAGATTTTCCACACAAGGAACATCTAGATAAATCTCACCTATGTCAGGTTGTTGGCAACTTATATAGGCTTGGAAGTTATTATATATATATATAGGCTTGGAAGTTATTATATATATATATATATATATGGTTTTTGCCATAGGACTTGTGTGCTCATCAGAGACAAAGAGAGACAGTGAGAGGGAAAGTGAGAACTCATCCCCCTAGGGGATAGTCTTACCACAATCCCTTCCCCTCCATTCTCCTTTTGGGATTTTGGGCACACACATACATACACCCAGTATGATTTCCAAGCCCTTGGTCTGGTTCTTGAACCACAGTACCCCATGTGGGAGTCCATTCCCTTAACCCACTTACTGGCCCACCATTTCATATCTTTTTTTTTTTTTTTTGGAGAGATTTTTGCTATAGGGCACATGCACTCACCAGACAGACAGACAGAGACATAGAGACAGAAAGCGAGAAATCACCCCCCAGGGAGGATGGTCACGCCGCAATCCCTTCTCCTCCATTCTCTTCTCGGGATCTTGGGCATGCACGCACACGCGCCCGGCATGAGTTTAAAGCCACCGGGTCCAGGACGCGAACCGCGGTCGACTACGTGGGAGTCCAGCGACAACCATTACGCTAACTGCTGGTTCCCACCATTTCATATCTTAACAGTGACTTAACAGAGTTCTGCGCTGTTCTTTTATTTGCCAATTTACAGTTCAGCTCCTTGGAAACAGGCCTGTCTCCCTTTCCCTCTAGAACTTGAACTGCATCACCCCGACCCTTTCTTTGGGTAGAGGTCTCAGTGTGGCACGGGAAGTGGTGGCTGGTTTGGAATGGTTAGGTTCATTAAGCTTTCATTGCTTTCGTTCCCAAGACTACTCAAGGACTTCATCCCCTAGGCATTTCTCTGGTATAAAAAAGCCCTTCCCTGTTCTCCGAATCTGTTAACTTTCCCAAAATCCACTCCTGACCTGGATTCCCAGATCCCGCACTCGCCTGCTGGGCACAATTATAAACAACCACAAGGTCCTTGGCTTCGATTCTTTCTAGTGTCATCCTTTCCCACTGGGCATCCATGAGTATTCATTCACACTTCCAAGGGACTGTTCTTCCGTCCTCTGTCCTCAGTGCTCTTGTCACATCTCCTCTAGGCACTCGTATCAGTCACGGTCCCAGAGACAGAAATAGATGACACCCTCACTCACATTTGGATAATCTGACAATTTAATAAGGGACTATTTACAAAGCTGGAAGCAGCGGAATTATTTTATTTTATAGTGTGCTACACTGCAGGTAAACAGGGAGTGTGGATGAGGAACACCTAAATCCAACCCAGAGATTCAAAGGAAGCTTTCTGGGAGAAGCGGACACTTGATCTTCTAGGTTAAAAAGAGTTAGATAATGAAAAGGAGTATATTCCAAACCACGTGAAGAATATGATCAAAATGATTGACCAGACACAGTGTAGTGTGTATAGGGAAACATGAACAAATGTGTATTATTATGAATAGGAGGTGAAGCATGGTACATAGAGATGTAGGTGGAGGGACAGGCAGGAGTGAGGGTATAATATACTAAGCTAAGGATTTAGCAGGATTGCAGCTAGCGTGAGGTGAATGAGGCATTTGCCTTGGATGCAAAATTTAAAAGGGCTCTAAGCACTCAATAATCAGGTTAAATTATACATTATAAATATATATATATATATATTATATATTGAAAGAGAAAGAAAAAGGTACCTTTATCAGGGTCTCTCCATGCTGTGAGCCTCCTGCCAGGCTTCCCAGCCAGCTGGGATCATGGATGTTCATGGGCACCTCTAGCATGTTCTGGTTGATCTGGGATTTGAACCTGGACTTCCCAAGTATCTCCAACATTGGACAGCAGTACCTCAACACCCATGCTGCCACAACAGGGGCAGAATAAATAATATTTAGATGCAATAATTTAGATAATTCATTTAAAAATTCATGGCTAAAAAATAAAAAAAAGTGTAAGATGAATCAATACGCAGAGAATTCTTAGAATTAGTGCTGCCTTGGCATCCGTTTTGAATGTAAGTTTAACTTTCTCATACAAAAACCAGGACTTGGTGTCTGTTGATCTGCCTTACACGATTGCCTCCTTGTGACCACCTTCCCACAGAAAAGCTGGATACGACACCGACATGCCGAGTGGACTGTGCAGATAGGCCACAGTGACTACCCCTCGGTCACAGCATGGGCCAGCAGCAGAACTTGTGCCACCAGTGAAAACTCTCCGGACCCCAGTAAAGGCTTCAGCCCACAGGCCTCTCACTCACTCTCTCCTGTCTTCTACATGCTCACCTGCTAGTTGAGCACATGTGTCCTGGAGGGCTTCTTACTTCCCACTGGCCATGCAAGGTGTCCTGCTCTGTTTGCTCTGGGAATTACAAGTAATAAAATCCTTCTGTTACTTCATGTGTTTTGTTGCATTTCTCCCTCTGTGTCGCTTGACTGACACACCCTGAATTCTTTCTGGTCAACAGTCCTCTTAAGAGTGACTAACTTGGTAGAAATAAACTAGCTAGAAGTCACACAAGAGCTACAAAAACATCAGCCATATAAGTGAGGTTCCTGTACAAGGGACATGTGGTCATGGGTCACACACTTAGACATCAGAGGAAGCATTCTGACCCAGTCATGGTGATACAAGGAAAGGGTGCCATTGCATGATGTCTGGGGCCATATGGAAGGTCCAGGTTCAGGTCCCAGCACATCCTGAATAGGTTGGGTTCAGTGATTACACCTGCTGTGGTCCTAGGTATGTGGGAGAATGAGACCCTACCAAATAAAACCTATCTTTTATTTATTTATTTTTTTGTAGAGAGATTTTTGCTATAGGGCATATGCGCTCGCTGGAGAGACATAGAGACAGAAAGTGAGAAACCCCCCCCCTCCAGGGGAGGAAAAAGCCACAATCCCTTCTCCTCCATTCTTCTCTCAGGATTTTGGGCATGCATGCACATGTGCCCAATGTGAATTTGAAGCTGCTGGGTCCAGGACTTGAACCATAGTGGACTATGTGGGAATACAGTGACATAACCATTACACCATCTGCTGGTCACAAAAACAACTATCTTTTTCTCCTTCCTACTCTCTCTGTTTCTCTCGCTCAAAAAAAAAAAAAGGATCCTGTGAATGGCAGATTACTGACATTACTGACATCTACAAACATTTCCCTGGAGTTCTGCTAAGGGAAGGCTAGAATTTATAGCCACTCTCTAGAGAAAGACCTCAAGACCAAATGAGAAGAAACTTATATTTACAAAGCATAATATTACTGATTGTTTTCTTTTGCCTCAGGCTCCAGAATGGCTCAGCATGGTACTATTATTGATTCCTTCTTTATTGCATTAAAGTATTATTTATCCCCTTAACAAATGATACAGAGTTCATGAGGATGAAACCCTACCTCACATCACAGAAAGAAATTAACCCATGATTTATCATAGACCTGGATATAAGGGCTCAAACTATTAAGCTTCAGGAAGGACACACCAGAATAGATCTGAGTTATCTGGATTAGGCAATGATTTCTTAGATATGACACTAAAACTTCAAGTTACAAAAGACAAAAGTGATAAACTAGACTTCATTGAAATGGAAAATTTTGTGTTTCAAAAGGTATCTTCAAAAAAGTGAATATATGACTCACTGACTGGAAGAAAATATACGTGCAAGTCATATATTTGATAAGAGACTTGTATCCAGAATATATAAAGAATGCTTATAATGTAATAATAGAAGGATAAGTAAGTCAATTAAAAACTGAACAAAGGGTCAGTAGGTGGTGTGAGGTTAAGGTGCTGGATTGCGATAGGGCCAACTGTGGTTCAAGTCTCAGACCTGGTGACTTGAACATCACATGTACCTGGCACATTTGCATGCATGCACAAAATCCCTGGAGGAGAATGGAGAAGGGATTACAGTGTAGTTATCCCCACTGTGGGGTGATTTTCACTTTCTCTGTGCCTCATTCTGGTGAGCGCATGCACCTTATGACAAAACCTAAAAGGAAAAAGAAAACAATCTAAAATACCAAACAAAACACAACTGGGCAAAGGATTTGAACAGCTAGTTCTCTCCAAAGGAGATAATATGAATGGCTAATGAGCACATACCAAAATGCTCAAATCCTTAGTCATTACGGAAACAGAAATCAAAGTTGTAATGAGATTCTACTTCACACCTACTAGAATGACCATAATAAGAAAAATAAAGCGTGACAAATGTTAGTGAGGATGCGGAAAATTTAGAGTCCTCTTACATTGCTGGTGGGAATGTCAAATAAAGTCACGACGTTGCAGTTTAATGTCTCATACAAGAAGCAGGGCTCAGTGAGCTGCTCACTTTGGTGGTTTCTTGTAAAGTCAAACAGTTATTATATGACCCAGCGACATCCTGCCCCAAAAGCACCCATACGGATGTATTTCATGTGTTTACATGAATGTTGACAGCAGCGCTATTCGTATTAGCTACAACGTGCAAGCAGCCCAAAAGCACATCACTGACGACTGGGTAAACAGAATGTGGCTACGATGGAGTGATACTTAGCCGTGGCTTTGGCTGCCGGATGGAGGGTAGTTGGAGATGGGCAGACATGCTAGCTGAAATGCCGTTAGCCGAGTTGCTTTTAAATGTGTGAACCTGGCACGGGGTGTGAGTATGAGCAGCTGGTTGGGAAGGGAATGGACAGGGTCTGGATTGAGAGGGAGAAGTCTAGGACAGGGCTCCGTTCTGGGTTGGGGAGCTGATGACTCTCAGTATTACTGACAGGAGCAGAGATGAGGACAGTGTTGTCTGGGCTGCTTGTGAGGCACCTGGGAAATAATAAGCCACCATGTTATTAAATCACGTCATCCCTCCTACTTTACTCTTTGATGGCAATCTACTGCTCTTGCCATAAATTCCAGTGCCCCTGCCATGGTTTCCCAGGCCCCGTGTGGGACTCTGCCAACCTCTCCGGCTCGAGCTCCTTTACTCTGTTTTGCTCGTGTCACCTCAGCCACTAAGGTTTCCTTTTCGCACTTGGAACATGCCAAGGGATGTCTTCTCTCTGGAACTCAATCCCAGCTCTTCTTCTGCTTGGGCTCTTTTCTTAGGTCCTTTTTAAGGCGGTCTCTTACATTTTGACATTTCACAGGTCTATCATCTTTTAGTGATGTCCCTAGCAGGGCCTCCCCAACCTTTTTTATCAACACTCAGTGTATCAGTTTTCTACTGCTGCTGTAACAAATTATTACAAACTCGGAGGCTAAAAAAACCACGTATTCATTGTCTCACAATTCTGCATGTTAGAAGTTCAACATGGGCCTCACTGGGCCCAAATCAAGGTATCAGTGAGGCTTCATTCCTCTCTCTAAAGGAGAATCCACGTCCTTGTCCTTTCAGGCTTCTGGTGCTGCCTGTGTTCCTCAGCTCATCATCCTTTCTGTTTCTATTCGTATTAGCTACAACGTGCAAGCAGCCCAAAAGCACATCACTGACGACTGGGTAAACAGAATGTGGCTACGATGGAGTGATACTTAGCCGTGGCTTTGGCTGCCGGATGGAGGGTAGTTGGAGATGGGCAGACATGCTAGCTGAAATGCCGTTAGCCGAGTTGCTTTTAAATGTGTGAACCTGGCACGGGGTGTGAGTATGAGCAGCTGGTTGGGAAGGGAATGGACAGGGTCTGGATTGAGAGGGAGAAGTCTAGGACAGGGCTCCGTTCTGGGTTGGGGAGCTGATGACTCTCAGTATTACTGACAGGAGCAGAGATGAGGACAGTGTTGTCTGGGCTGCTTGTGAGGCACCTGGGAAATAATAAGCCACCATGTTATTAAATCACGTCATCCCTCCTACTTTACTCTTTGATGGCAATCTACTGCTCTTGCCATAAATTCCAGTGCCCCTGCCATGGTTTCCCAGGCCCCGTGTGGGACTCTGCCAACCTCTCCGGCTCGAGCTCCTTTACTCTGTTTTGCTCGTGTCACCTCAGCCACTAAGGTTTCCTTTTCGCACTTGGAACATGCCAAGGGATGTCTTCTCTCTGGAACTCAATCCCAGCTCTTCTTCTGCTTGGGCTCTTTTCTTAGGTCCTTTTTAAGGCGGTCTCTTACATTTTGACATTTCACAGGTCTATCATCTTTTAGTGATGTCCCTAGCAGGGCCTCCCCAACCTTTTTTATCAACACTCAGTGTATCAGTTTTCTACTGCTGCTGTAACAAATTATTACAAACTCGGAGGCTAAAAAAACCACGTATTCATTGTCTCACAATTCTGCATGTTAGAAGTTCAACATGGGCCTCACTGGGCCCAAATCAAGGTATCAGTGAGGCTTCATTCCTCTCTCTAAAGGAGAATCCACGTCCTTGTCCTTTCAGGCTTCTGGTGCTGCCTGTGTTCCTCAGCTCATCATCCTTTCTGTTTTCACAGCCAGCGCCGCTGCATCTCCGACCGTTCCTCTGTGCTCAGGTCTCCTCCAGACTGTGCTCTTCTGCCTCCCTTCTCTGCTTCAATATATCTGTCACCATATGTTATACATAGAGAACCATTTATTTCATGAGAGGGAGATGGGGTACAAACCCCAACAGGATTTGATGCCATGACCCACTCTTACCTTAGCCGGATTGTGGGCACCAGGTGCCCTGTGCACTCGGAGGTCTCTGGATGCAGACCCGGAACCTTCCTGTGTGGCCAGCCTCACAGACTGTCCCGGTTCCCACTGTGTCGTAGTCCAGCCCCTTTCACTTCGAAGGACTTTCTGACTGCACTGGGCCCATCCAGAGGATTTAGGATAATCTCCCTCTCTTCCAGTGAGCGCTGAGCCACTTCAACTTCATTTCTCCTTTTCTGTGTAAACCAACAGTTTGACTTGTTCTGGAGATTAAGACCTGAACAGATTTTTGGGGAAGGGGCATTTCTTTTTTTTTTTTCTTTTTTTTTTTTTTTTACTACATCCAACTTCAGTTTTTTACTAGCACTTTACAACTTTATCATCCTGTTACTTTATGTGCTTACCTCCTGGGTTGTAAACTCATGAGAACCGTTTTTGGGGAAGGGGCTTTCTTTTTTTTTTTTTTCTTTTTTTTTTTTTTTTACTACATCCAACTTCAGTTTTTTACTAGCACTTTACAACTTTATCATCCTGTTACTTTATGTGCTTACCTCCTGGGTTGTAAACTCATGAGAACCGTTAGTCTGCCCACATAGGTAAAATCTTCTGTGTAGAAAGGAATGTGAAAAAGAATGGTTCTTGAGCATGTCGGGCCAGCA